TCGTCAAGCAGCCCGTTTAGGAACGCGTCTTGACATCCATCTGGTGCACCGTCAGATTGTACTTGGCCGCCAGACTGAGCAGGATCCTGATCGACGTGAACTTGGCGACTGGCGCGAAGGTTTCTTCGTAGTCAATGCCGTACTTCTGCGAAAATCCCTTGGCCACGAGTCGTGCCTTGAGCCGCTCGATCTCTCCCGCTTGATTCTCCTTGATGTGGTGAAGTGCTTTCTCAGAAATAAGAGAATGGTCCTGACGCGGGGTCACTATCCCGAATCAGTGACAATTTCAAGTGATTATAGAGGATTTGGGTTGTTTGGCACGGGTGCAAGTTGCCTGTGGTGGATTAGCCATGGCGAGCAGCACCCCGTATGGAATGACGATGGATCTGATATGAGCGATGTACGAGAAGGCAAGATCCACCAAGACTTACCTCGGATCCACCCTTACCTGGATTCACTAAGATGGATATGGGATATACTATACAAGAGTGGATCGAGTGCGGATCCTATGAAGGAAGGATGGTCGGTGCTCTCTGACGGTGGATCTAGTAGCCACGGCTAATGAAGAGTCAAGATCCACCGCGAGGTACCCCGGATCCCATACTTCCGAGTTCGTATCCAAGGAGGGAGGATCCCGTCTGGAGGGACCTGGATCCAGGGTATAGGGATGAGGGATACAGTGGATCTCGAACTTTCGTAGGACAACGGAGATCACAGACGGTTGCAAGATGATGTTGGATGATTGGAGAGTTCAGATCCACGGCGAGTGTACCATTACAGTGAGGTGGATCCAAGCGACCTGGATCCGGATGAGTGTACCCATAATAGGGTGACCATGATGATTACGTCATATATCCGGTGGATCTGAAGATAACACAGCTGGGATGATGGGTCAAGGGAAGAAGGGACATGCAGCCGAGCCTGGTAAGGGATTTAGCAGATGAAAGACATAGAAGGTAGAAACCCAGGCAGGTATAGGCTTAAATATCAATACAGACTCCAATTTGCACAGTGGAGGGCAAGTGACCTGTAGTCGTCTCGGGGGTTGGATTTGGCCTCGGGCGATCGCCGTAACAGGAGTGAGCATTGGCCCTGGACAAGGACAGCGTCTACTTCGCCCGCCAAGCATCAGGTCTCACTATGGAGTAATCAAGATCACGAACTAGAGAACAAGTGGGCACGGAATCCTAACGGGATCATCAAGTGGAGATCAACTACGTATAGCGTTTCGACGGGGATTGGATTTGGCCTCGCAGAACATTCGTAGCGGAGATGAGCATTGGCCCGGACAAGTTTCGTGTATACTTCGACCCTAGGGACTAGATACAGGCATACTTCCAGGACTAACCCGGAAGTGCAATATGCGTTCAAAATTTCGATGACTCACTGAATCCTGCAATTCGCATTACGTATCGAA